AACTTTCACATTTGGTTAGCATCATTCTCAACTACCGACAAATAGATGCACACATCCACATTTGAAGGGTAAACTTTTTAATAGGTTTATATATTGATTGTATAATATAACACAAAAGAGTATTTTACGCATTTATCTAGGCTCTTATAGTTAATTAAAGGTTATTTTGAGAGAATTTTCCTTATTTTAATATATATATATATTCTAGGTAAAAACCCCGACTTGAAGATTAATTGTGCAAAAGGAATAGATTTAGAACTTAAGAATGGTGGATTTGAATAACTACCTGGGAAGTTGAGGACTTGGTTAGAAGTTTTGGATAGTTAGTTTTATAATTTACATGTTTTGGGAAACATATTTTGCATTTGGAAAGTGTGGGGATCAAAAGTGTATGAAATAAGAACATGGGGTCAACTTGAATATTTTCAGAACTTGAAGCCAAAAATTGAAGAAATTCAAGGATGGAGGACCAATTAGGATCACATTAGAAGTTCAGTGGCTGAAATGAACAAGGTTAAAAGCTAAATGAGTGAATTGGATTAAATTGAAAATTTGAGGACATAAAGTCCCTATTGGTCTCTGTTTGTAAAGTAAATTTTTTTCCGACTTTGTTCGGAATTGTTATCTATTGACTTAAATATGTGAATCAAAGCAAATCAAAAGAACGAACGAACGACAAATTAGATAACATCAATCTATGTACAGTAGCTTCACATTGTCCAAAGAGGTAAGATGCATTAATTAAACAATGTAGAATTGGTCTTCCGCATTTAGTTGTTGTATAAAAAGTAAAAACTTCACATTGGTGACGTTGAGAGAGAATCGCAAACATTGTTCTGTAAATGTATGATTGTTTTAGATAATCATAAAAAGGATTCTCTAACCATGTCATAGTGAAAAAATTTTATCGTGCCCCCAAGACAATGTGAATATGAAACAACCCTAAGCCTTAGTGCTACCCAACATTATTATTAATTTATTTTTTGGTTTTAACGATTTGATTAATCAACCCTTACAACATCGAGTTATATCCACCTATAGTATGTTGGACGGTGGATTATATGGTTTATTTTTATTTCAAAAAATAATTGTTTCCTAATTCAATTTAAATAATTGAATTTTGAAATAGGGAACCAGTTTTTATTGAAATTAGTCATTGACATGAAATTCAAAATACTACGTTGGGTTAAAATTGAGCTTCCTAACTACTTAAATACAATTTTAATTAATTAAAATGAAATATTTAATTCTTTTCGATTAAAAAATTATTTTTACTATTCTATCGTCTTAAATTACCACAGGTCGAGGTTTACTTC